ATGCCGAAAATTCCGCTGGCGTTTTCACACCATGTCCAACTATTTTTAATTCAAGCCTCGCGTTCTGTAAACTCGACGACGACGAAGACGACGGACGTATCATGTCGGAGAAGAGAGAAATGATAATTTGAAACGTGCCGTGTCATGCAAGCTTCGACACAGCAGGTCGACGGTCACGTAGATTGTTGCACTTTTCCGCGCGAACATGCCACTTGCAATTCAATTGGTCACCTTGTTGGTATCGTTTCACCATTTACGTTGATCGATTCGTAAACGAGCGATCAGTTCACGCCTTTGTCTGTCGATCTGAACGAGAATCGATATCCGTGGGTGCAGATTCACAGGATTATAGAACGCAGCGTTTACCAGAAACCTGAAGTCGGTCACGAAAACAGTCAGACGTAATTTAACGGTCGCACATACGAATGGCAGCATCACGTGCCGAATCGCCTCTACGGAAAGTCTATGAAGTCCTTTCACTTTTCCTGTTTCGCGCTGGTGGATGTTGAATGCTGTCAAACGGTATTCTTTACGCAGTGCACACTTTCGTTCAACGCAATTTCCCGCATTCTTTTCGCGAGGAAAAACCTCCACGGTTACGTATGTTACTTTCGAGAGGAATCGCGAGGTAGGATCGAAATGAAAGAAAGCAAAGGCATAAACGTGACGAATTGTACGATTAGAAACTTACGATTCGTGGCTGCAAAGTTTAACACGAGTATACCGATCGATATATCACGATTGGTCACGTCACAGCATTTTCGAATACTGATCAAGCGACGACGAGACGAATGAGAGATGTCACTACGGAACGTGCGAAGATATTTTAACGGAACAATGGTTCGATCTGTGTGGTGAAGGAAAGAATGACAGAAAAAGAGGAAAGAAGGTGCGCGTTCTCCGACGTTCGCGCGCATACTGCTCGCACGGCTGACCGTAATGTCACGTTATCTCAGGAGGTTCCAGACGACTCGAAAGAGCCCGGGAGTGCGTGCCCTTCCTTTAATGAAAGCCGTTGGTGTGTGTGTTCGTGGCCGCAAGGTTTCCTCATTGTCAGCGAAAAATCACCTCACGCACACTCTCTTCCTTTTGTTTACACACAATTTCCCGATGCATTTCGAAAGAAATGCAGTTGCCGTGCTGCAATTAACTCGATAGAGAATTCACGCGGGATCTTCATCTTATTTCTTTTTTTATCTCTCTCTACTTTTTCATACGAGAGGTTGTCACGTGTTATCATTGGCATATCGAGACTTATGTTAGTTCGATTGATCCATTAATCGTTTTTTTTTCACTCCTAAAGTGCCAACAAAGACGGGTTGTTCTCTAATAGCGATAAAAGAAACGAAGCAACGTTTCTCGCGTAATTGGTCGCTTCTTATACAGTGCATCGAGTAGCTTGCTTTAATAACGCGTTATCACCGGATCTGTCAGCCATGAAAGACCCTTGAGAATGTATATCGTTGCTCTGAACGAAAGCGTGTGCATGTGCCTACGATCGAGAATTTTCTCGGGGGAATGTGCAACGGATACGCAGCTGTCTTCGACACGTAACGTTGCTTAATCGAAACGATCGTCGAATACGTTCACCACAATTTGCGTGTTATCAACGGTTGATAATCAAATATGTATTTTATGCATACCTCGACTATTTACAGATTTCGGTGCTCTTTCGAACAGCAGCTTTGATAAATTTCTAACCGAGGAATGTGATTTACGGGAATATGAAGTCATAAACATTTATTTGAGCGTGCTGATCTCGCGTTTCTACGTACAGATTTTGTCTCTCGAGTTTCGGTTTAATTGGCCGGCAACGCAAATAGATGTAGATATCGTACACTCGTTGTCAAGGTATGCATATGTCAGGTACATTAGCAATGATCTCCTCGATTCCCCCCCGATACAGTTGTTTTTTCGGTCACGCAGCTGCATGCACACTCGGGGAAAAAACTGAACAAACATAGATACAGCGTCTACATGTGCAGACTTGAGTCATGATTTCTGAATAATCGTTGAAGCCGAGTCTTTGTCTCGGTTCGGTTGCTATGAAAGCACGTTGACGCCTTTGCGGTTTCAGACTCGGCCAATGTAGATGGAGCGAATTGAACAATTTCGTTTAGCTAAATCGAATATTTTTTCGTTTGTCACTGATAACAATATGACTCAGAAAGGATGATTCCCTTTGTCCCCGGGGCACTCGTTCTTGTTATGGAATTTTCAAGTAAGCGTTTATACATTACTAAAATATCGTTTAAATCTAAATTTATTTTCATATCAAAAATGTTACAGGAGGATCGTGATTTCGAGATAGCTTTCCATTCCCTGCGTGCACACTTATTGATCGCCAACTGCGCAACGTCAAGGATCTACTGCGCAGGAACGGTGTAATTCAAAATACGACTTTCTCTTCAAATACTGGGAATAATATTTTCTCACAGAGACAAATATTTTTGCTTTCATGTATCGTATATTATGATACGTTAAATATGAAAGCGCATTTATCTTTGAATATACGATGATTATTCGGTGAGTTTTTTTTTTTTTTGAAAGAATGTTTTGTGAAATTTCATTTCCTCGCTTTTAACCATAAATCGTTTGTTTCATATAGATGTATGAATAAAATGGAAAGATGGAATGATAATAGTTAAGTTAGAAATACAATTTGAATATAAAATTGATCACAGTGAATACTGTAACAAATTTGTAATCACAAAGATGACAAAAACGCGCGTTATTCCATGCGCATGGTTTAAACTCCTGTAGAGTGGCATCATTAAATAGCTTTATTGTCTAGAATTATTCCCCTACTCTCGTCATAACTAAAGAGATGTGAGTCATGTTCATTAAGTATGTAACGGGTGGTCATACAGTTCGCGGAAACTGGAAATAAGATAAAGGACTAGGATTTAAGATTTCGCTGCTAAGGATTCGATTACACGGCTACGAGCCTCTCCGGTTTCGCTCGTCTTTGATTCTTTTCTTGTTAAACGTACGAGTACTCTATTTTCGTTCTTAGCTTCGTGCAACCCTCCGTTCTGTACTTTATGCGCTTAATCGATGTGTATTTTCCACATAAATTAACGAACACACCGAATATTTGTTTCAACGTGTTTTATTCGATGATAAATCAATAGTGAGAAATGGATGTTTAAAGAAACAAAGTGAGATCGCAACGCAAGTGCCGAGCACATCTTAATTCAATATCGTTGCAAATTATCATGACCTGCTGGATCTCATTAAGTAAATTTAATGCAGAATGACGAGCTGTTATTTATAGGTCAAGCGCACAGCAGTGGCAACCCTGATTTCATAAATATATCTTTCAAACGAAATCGAACGAGGCAAGTATGAATGATTAATTGATGTTTTATTAATAATATATAATATTCGTTCTACGAGTCATTAAAATGTTTTTTTCGTATACTTTGATGATATTGTAGGTAGATCATTATTGGCTGTAAAATTTGTAAAAATTTATAAATTATTGTAATAAATATTATATTATGTGCAGTATAAAAAGATGGTTATGTACAGTTTAGGGAATATTTCTGTCATATTTGCGATAACGTGATATCCAATCGTATAAAAGCACACATTGACGAGTATCAAATGTTCCTACGATATCTCTATTTCTTAATCAAGTAAAATATACAAATGTTTAATTTACAAATTAAATGAACCAAAAGTGTAAGCAAATCAATTCAAGATATTCTATAGGGTTAAAGAGAAAATATTATCTTTCGCAGTTGCCTAACCTGATTTTCAATAGCGTTTATTACTATATAGCAGCAACAATGATCTGTTATTTCTGTTATTAATCTGTGATAATAAAAAAAGCTCGTATTATTTTGTTATAGTAGTAGTTGATTACAGAATATTATATTAATTTGTAATGATAAATTCGTATTGTCTAAGTTTAATTTAAATTACGAGTTTAAAGGTAACATACGTTGCTTTCATACAAGTGCTGACATTCATTAGGAAAAGCAATCAGATCGTGCTACAAATAACAAGAGCTTTGATTAGATAGAAATAACAATAAAGTGAGTCGATCTTGATGTTCTGCTGGACTGACAATTATGACGCGATTAAGAGGCAGAGCCTCTTTAATGGTCATTATAATGATCAGTTTTACCCTGTTGATTGTTATTTATCATATTCTCGGTAATGAGGTCAAGGACATCGCGTCAAATAAATTAAATCCGCGACTTAAAATCGAAGAAGTTTATCCATTGAGCGATCTCACAGAGAATCCCCGTAACATTGCCAGAAGACAGCAAATAGAGGCTCAGATAATGGGAAAATTAAAAAGCGATGGAGAAAGGTTATTCAGTGACTTCAATTCTGGTAGATCATATGCAGAAACGATTTCTTCCTTTAAGGGTCATAAAATTGTGCATTTGGATTTAAAAGGTGCTCCTCCCAAACCAAGTTATTACAAGTACCTGTTACGTTTGCTCAAAAAATTAGGTGCCACTGGTATACTTATAGAGTATGAAGATATGTTTCCTTTTGAAGGAGTATTACAAAATATCAGTGCAGGTAATTGCTATAGTAGAAGGGATATTGCTAATATTCAAAAGATAGCCTATGAGAATGAACTTATAGTAATACCATTGATTCAAACTTTTGGTCACATGGAATTCATTCTTAAGTTAGACAAATATAAAGATTATAGAGAAGTACCACGTTACCCTCAAGTTCTGTGTCCTACTTACAATAAAACTCTTCCATTAATATACGAAATGATAGATCAAATAATGGAAACACATTCTGATATAAAGCATTTACATATTGGAGCTGATGAAGTTTACCAAATAGGAGAATGTTCTAGGTGTTTAGACATAATGGTTAAAAGACAGTGGCGTAAAAAACAACTATTCTTAGATCATGTCTCAAAAGTTGCAAGATATATCAAAAGCAAATACCCAGAACTTACAGTTCTTATGTGGGATGATGAATTTAGAGAAATATTATCTAAAGAGATAAAAGACAGAGATTTACATTTAATGGTAGAGCCTGTTATTTGGAAATATACCACTGATCCTGGAGCATCATTATCAGATCAACTGTGGGAAGGTTATGCATCGGTTTGGAAAAATGTTTGGATTGCTACAGCTTTCAAAGGTGCTACTGCACCAGATAGATACTACACCGATATTAATTACCACATGGAGAACCATCAACGTTGGTTAGAAATTATCAATAGATATTCTACTCAGATTACTTTTAAGGGTGCTATCCTAACAGGATGGCAAAGATATGACCATTTTAGTGTGCTTTGTGAGCTTCTACCCTCTGCCATACCCTCTCTTGCTGTAAATTTGGCAATTTTACAAGCTCCAGATTTAAGTGGATTTCCTACAGAAGTACCTTCTCCGATATTACAAGCACTGCAGTGCGAGGGTATCATCTCTTTAAGTATCCCAGAACCACAATACGGTTGGACAAGATGCAGTTATCACGGTGTATCAATATATGCTGCTATACTCCGGCTGTTTTCATTGACTCAGGAAGTCAATAAAATGGAGCAAGATAATACGTTTAAGGGATGGTTAAAACCGTACAACTTAAAATATTCTTTTTCAAATCCTAGTCACGTAGAAAGAGCAGTTTCAGAACTGGATAGACACAAGATGGAGATAATGTATATCGAGAAAGAAATAAGAACTGCTATGGAAAACATATACGATAATTATACCATACAAGAATGGATAGAAACATACATCACACCTTTGAATGAGAAATTTACTCAACTATGGGAAGCTAAAGAGAAGATCCTAGAGAAAAACGTATGGCCAAGAAGACCATTAACAAAATCTGACGTATAAGTCAATAAACGAATAGCTTCCATATCATGTAATATGAGACTGAGTACCGCACTAGGGTAAACAGAGAAGCGATCTATTAATCAAGACACTTAGAATCCTTGTTTTCCAAAGGGACGAGTAAATGGGTGGTATATAAAATCTACCAAAAGTATAATTTTGCACCTCGTATGTCTAATGTATAGGATACGCTCTATATTTCGATCCAAATGTGTGATCAAATTCTATCGACTGCACCGTCCGTAAATTAGTATCGTTCATTTGATCATGAACAATAAGTTCTTTTTTTTCTTTCTTTTTTTTTTATTCATCTAAATAACACTCAAATAAGAGATTTTGATAACTCGTGTACTCGGAAAGCGAACGATAATTTTTAAATTAGCACTTCTAGAATACGAATTTAAGTCTTAAATTTGTATATATCGATATTACATATTCAATGAAGCGTTGATTGAAAAACTGTCGCGAAAGCTGATTAATTACTCGGTTCGTGAGATTGTTTGAACAATTAAAAATGAATTCCTGCGTTGTTTGATTCCTAACGGAAAGAACTTTACTAACTTATTTTCTATTTATTAACACGTTTCACTCTTTAATGCTTCCAGTGTGCATTTTACATGTATGCTATTTAAAACTGATTATTCTACAAATGCGCACATACTGCGGTCTCACTCATTCTTACTTGTTAAATGATTTTGTTCTCTTTCGTTGTATGCGTTTTATTTTGTATATTTATGTTTTTTTTTATACATGTATCGTTTTGCATGATTAGTGCCATTAATGATTAGATTTAGAAAAAACCGGTGAATCAACAGTTTATAAAAATAGAGGATATATCTGCGATTCGCTTAATGGACAAATAGTTCTCTCGATTCCTAACCTGCGAATAACACTATTCGTTTGCCATTGGGTTCTACTTAATCTTACGATATTTAAAATCGATCGTGGAGCTTTCTTTATCCCATCTTCTCGGTATTGAACGATTTTTTCACGAGCATTTATATAAAATCATCAGAGGATTCGAATACAAGTTCATATGGCATGTACTCAATCGACAATGTATGTACATTAATATAATGAATATTATTACTATTATTGTAAAAGTATTTTTAACATTGTTACTTCGACCCATATTAACATTATTACCGCAAGTAGTAAGATTTTATCAATAAATAAATCTGTTTTTAAATCTACTACGAAGACACACCAGTGGTTTATTGCATTGGCCCCTCATGGTATAAGTGAACTCTCATGGACGGCGAGAAAGTACCGAAAAATATCTGTTCAAACATCTTATGTACACCCCTGTCATTCTCGACTTTCGCCATTTTCCATATAATCATCTTTCCTGTTGTTTCACAAGATTTATCCAGTCTGTGCGTGAAAAATATCCCATTGCAAACATCACCATGATTTTCACTGTAACACGCACACTGCCGATTTCGAGCCAGGAAAATGGGGATAAAAGGGGATTTGAGTTTGTTTCTTCGTGGGAATTCTTTTCACAACCTTGTGAACCGTGCTCATGTCTACCGTGTCCCCTATTTCCGCGATGATTATGGGCCTGTGATAGTCCTGATCCGTTTTCGTCAACCGGACACCCAAGATCTGCGCGGCTAAGGTCACCAGACACAAAGAAACCTGAAAAAAGGATAAATTTTCTTTAAAATAAAAATAAATTTCGTTCTTTAATCGGTCGGAAAATATTTTACCGCCTCGCCAGTTCTCGCAGAGACATCGTGGGACGGAAATCCGTTATCCGCCGCAAATTTGTGTGTCCGATCCTTTTTCACCGTCCTCTGATGCTCCATGTCGCATTTGTTGCCAACTACAGCCATCAGCGGTGTTTCCTCGTAGCTATTGCTAAATTTCCTAATTTTGTCTATCCATTCCTCCAGGACCTCGAAACTGAAACTGTTCGTAACGTCGTAGACTAAGAGTATGATCTGAAAAATATACATATGTGCTTTTCCATCGCAGAAAAATCCGATTGAAATTCTTCGATGATGATATTTCGTTGGAACGTCTATTGGGTGTAGTCCCTTTTCTTACATGAGCACCGAAGATGTATTTGTCCAGCATGTTGCCATGTAGCGCGAGCCCGCCGACATCCCATAAATGCAGGTTGACATTTTTGTAATAGCCGACACTGACGTTCTTCAGGAAAAAGTCGATCCCAGACGTCGGTGTGTACTGTCTCGTGAATTCGTTATTGCAAAATTTTTGGGCAATGCTGGTCTAAACAGGGAACCTTGAATTTCAGTTATTCGGAATTGCTACCCCCTCGCTGTGGAGGCTCTCGTCTCTTTTTAAATAAATAATACCTGCTTGCTTCCAGGAAACGAGAGAAAAATTTTCAAACGAGTACACTTTGTTCCAAATTATATACTTTTCGGGAGCAATTAAATATGCTGGAATTAACCGATTCCTCGAGTACGCAAGGTCTCAAGACGAAATTCCAACGTCGATCGAAACTCGCGTGTTACGTCCGTCTGCTAATTAATAGTTGGTCCTATAGTTCTTCGGGAACTGGTCGTGTTAGTAATTAAAGAGCAAGAGACTTTTGAGGAAGAATTAAAGATAGTGGGGAAATAGCTGGAGTCACGAATACGCGATATCGCGTAAGCTGTGGAGACTCTGTTGGGTATTTCCTAGCGACAATACGCAACACTTGGAGTGACAAATTACTTCAAACTGAACGTTTATTATCGTCATCAGAAATGAATGGAAGTAAAGCGTAGTAACTGCGGAACACTCGGTATTTCCGAAGTACGTTTAATAGTGGCACTGACCACTTCGCACGGTGTAAATAAATCGATACGTTGCTTGGTTCTTTGAAGCTCAGAGGCACACTGGACTCGAAACAATTTAATCGTACTAGTACATACTCGTACGTTTCGAAAAATTCCCGATCGAGGGTCAAATCGATAGTTTCCCTTTGGCCAGGACGCAGAGACGAGAGACTTAACGCAGAGACGAAAATGACCAAGCTAGGGCTTGGATTACGCTTTCAGTAGGCAAGTAAACGCTGGAGACACAGGAAAACTCACTTTGCCGGATGCGGAGTCACCGACGAGGACGATCTTCAGCTTCCTTACCATTAGGTCTTCCTCGGTGTCGGACATTGGGGAAGATCGGGATAAGAGGAGCGCGAGAGGAAGAAACTGAGACGAGAGACGAAGAATTCGGGAATCATGCGAAAAGTCGTGCCGGCCACGACGGTTCTGCGTCGACTATAATGCAACATATAAACGAAGGGTCTGGCATGTGGCTAGAGAATGAAATCGAGCGAATCGACCGACCAGCCGTGGCCAGTGCGACGTCGTCGTCGTCTACACGGCTGCATGAATAAATTAGCGAATAATCGATACTACTACGAACAGCCATTGTGCGTGCCCCTGTCTTGTCGATATTTTACCTGGCAAACTTTTTCCTACCACAATGCTTCCATTAATTATGAACGTGCTGTGATGTAACGGATCGTGTGGTCTTGTGCTTCTACGTGTCAAGGTTCCTCGTTCTGCTTCCCATTGATCACATGGTTATTCTGTCTTTGCGTTCTTTCCTTCGTTATTACGCTTTTCTCTACATTAGTGCGGTAACATCGAACGAGTCGAGATTTCACAAGAATTTTACCCGAAGTAGTTCGTTCACTCACGCTACGCGCTCGGAAATAGAGTAGAAAAATATGCATCTGTTATTTTACGCGCGATTTCTTATCTTAACACTAGGGATAAGCGCTTAACTAATCGCTGGTAGACTCGTTCTTCCATCGCAGTTCTCGTGGTTCGCTACCTGAACAAAAATTTTTCACGAATGTTTCTTCCTGGTACTAAGATCAGCTCTAGGGTTAAACGTATTACCTCAGCGATGTGCTTATTCGTCTCGATAATTCGGCTTATGGAAAAACTCGTCTATGAATCCCTCGTAGCGTATGTACAAGCGTTTACCGTAGAAATTAATTAAAAATCAAATCCTTGTAATTCTCTAAGAGGTAGTAGTTAGACACGCGGCAGCACGTCGTGGTTCGAACGACCGTCAGCCTGTCGGCACGCTCGAAATTGGCTTTGACTATCTCGTAGTACCTCCCATCGCTGAAACGCATCGATGCTATAGGCACAGAGTATATTTTTATTGCCAGATCTTCGAACATTTCGAAACTTACCTCAAGCTTAAGCACCGTAATTTAATACACTTTACACGAAGTATATCTATAGCCTTCTGGCTTTTGTCGGAGAACCGGAGGTTCTCTGGATCCCAGCGGAGCTCCAGCCGCTCTAAATTTGGACAATTGTTAGCAATTCCGTCCATCAGCTGGTCCACGTGAATATTCACACCCAGCCTTTCTGAGGTCCCCATTACGAGAATCCTAAAATAAAAAGATGAAGATATATGAAGTTTTAAGTTAACCTATCAGTCCAGTCGTAAGAGATCGGAAATTTCTCATCCGAAGATGTGTATCTCACTTGGCCTTGGTCAATATGGGTAACACACTCTGCCACAGCTGATCCGTGATGTGTGGCATGCCGGATAAGGATAGTCCGTAGAGTTGTTGGCCATATTTCGACAAAAATTTATGCAGAGCGTCGTCGGTCAGGTTATCCGAGCTGTCCAGCGCCAAAGCGATCAGGGTTCGAGGATTGCCCAGCTCGGCCCAGGCTTTCAACACGCTGTCATTGAACCCGTTCAACTGACCCGCGCTCAGGAAACGAAGGTTTGGAATCCTGGTCAACATGTCGATGAGACATTCCGTCGATAAGTCCGTGCCAGTGACGTCCAGCTCCTGGATACTCGACTTCTCCCATTCCACCTGCATCACGTATTCACTCTGAAGATCTGCAAAAGATTCGTAGTGTCTTCTTCGAGTTCTCGAAGGTGGAGTTGTAGTTTGGTGAATGCTTAGCTACTTGTTCCTTGCATGAGAAGGCACTTGAGTCTCCTGCTTCTCTGGAACAGGGTCTTCATGGTGGAGCCGGTGACTTTGGCGCAGAAGTTCACTGCCAGGCATTCCAATTGAATGCAGTTGGAAGAAAATGCATCGATGTGAGAATCATCTACGAAATTGATCCCGTACAGGTTGATTACTCGCAGATTGGGGGTGGCCGATTTCAGTTTGTGCACGTTTATCACCTCGTAAATCTCTTCCTCCTCTTCCTCCACCTTTTCGTACGTCCCTAGAAGTTGACAGCGAGTAGAGTCAGTGTCTCGTTCGAACAGGTGGTATCGTAAGGATTCGCTCGGAACTGAAGGTAGACACGAACCTATAAGGTGAAGGATCTCCAGGCCATTGATGAAGTTGTAGATCTTTCTCATGAAGCCCTCCATGAAGATTACCTCGGACAGGCAGATGCACATGTACTTCAGCTTGGTGGGGAAGGCTTGCATCTCCGAGAAATCGTGCAGTTGCATGGCCGTGGAGAAATCGAGCAGCATGTGAGTCAAGTTTGGACACTTGTTGGCCAGTTCGTGGAGAACCGTGTGCGTGATCAGCTCGATCGGCAGTTCGATGTACCTGAGCGAAGCTCCGAAGCGCGTGCTGGTATCAGAGAAGATGATTTTAATACCCGATGACACTCTTCGATTCCTCGTATTCTTAGTGTTCGCGCGTTATTTTGGCAAGTAGCGAGAAATTGTTTCTGGCTTGAACTTCACGGTCGAACGTTACATGCCAACATTATACCGATAAAGTATCCTCTACCTGATCAAATGCAGCAGATTGTCCAGAGAGTTCACGTGCAATCCACTGATTTCCGGCCGCAGCGATACGTGCTTCCATAATCGCGTGTCGTAGGCTATTTGCCGCCATCTCTTGCAAACACGTGCCACCCTGCATATTTCGCGATGAGACAGGTAACTGAAGATATTCAGCAGCACCTTGTCCGGCAGTTTCTCTATCGTCTAGAAAGATGAAACACGACGATCCTTAATAAAAGACGATTGGACAACTGGTCCTCGAATTTTCTCGACCTCCTGCCACGATTCTTCTGCAACATTCGTTACTTACTGTCCCAGCGAAACGACTTTTAACCACGCCGCCCTCAGACACGAACATCTGAGACGTTTCCACGGCGATCTGACCCCAGACATCGACACCCCCGAGATCCATCTTGTTATTTTCTCAGAACAAACTCGTGACACGAAAGGAAACTCGGTTTCTCCTTAAAAAGATCCTCTATCACTGGGTGTACTTCGATCAGCGGAATCCTCGATGACGCTGATCTCCCGATCTGACGCGACGCTAGTCGGATTTTTGCGTGGAAGACCGAAAAGAATTTTGGAACACGGTGAACAGGAGGACGGTTCGTGAAAATCGCGGCACACGGCGGATTTCGAGGAATCAGATGTTCTAAGTCTTCCACGGGACTTCTAATCGGATCGCGCATGCGCGTCGGCCTAAATATAAGACTTGGAAGACCCATCTCCGCTTTAATTTTAAACTCGTCACCTGCAGCCAAGGTGCATTTCCCTCTGTTTCCCGTGAAACGTCAAGATTTCGGAGTGTAGAAAATATTCCTGTGTTTCTTGTTACAAGCTCGGTTGCACGTGTACAAGCGATAAAATGAATTTCGGGAATGTTCATGCGGTTTACACGCGGGTCAACCCGGAGCAGACTCGTTTTCGCTTCTTCCATAAATCAACGCAGTCATAAGCCCGTGTCTCGAATCGGTATGAATATTCGGTTTACCTTTGCAGAGACTTTGTAGTTCGCCTTTGTACTTCGTTTCGTCTTTTTATAGCTATGGGTGAACGCGGCTCGTAAAATATTTTACACTTGCTCTGACAGATTTTAGAGTATCATAGGGTTGCTAGAAATCTGCCAGGGCAGATTCTGGTTGATGTAAGACTTGGAACTTATCCGACACGAGACCTAACGACAAGACAAATTCATGCACGTGGTACCTACATGAAGATATATGTGCGACAACAAAAAGTTTCATTTAATGAAAACAAGTTAATCGGTGTTAGATAAAATACTTATACCTTGTTATCTGATTATCCGTGTTATTATCTCAGGATATTAAAAATTCGAGTGTTCCGATTAAATAACGAGAGGGATAAAAAGTCGCTTCGATTTTATAAACTGTTTTTATCCATCTTTTCTTTAACTATCAGCTTTATTGGATCGCAGATGCACCAAAAAATGTTTCTATCGTACGAAATACGAATCGTGATACCGATAATAGCTTTATTACACGTCGGATATTTTTTCTTTTCGAATGATCCAAATGTAAATATGATAAATAAAATGTAATATATCCTTGAAATAATAGACTCAGAAGTCGAACACACGGAAGCATCGTGTCGTTTCGTGTTAATCGCGTAGCATTTTCGTATCGATCAAACGCAACTATCGCTTGTATTTTAACGAAATAATTACCACGTTCGACACGATTCTGTTTCGATAAACATTACCACCAAGATCCTCTCTAGATATCGCACTGGTGGCGAATTCCACGTCCAGTCGGTGCCAGGTACTCATCGTTGTAAATGCAATTATTTATCCTGGAACCGCACGATCGATCTAAAATATATATCACTTTGAACCACACTCTGATCGAGACCAAACTATTGAAACCGTGGCGTCGTATGCAGAAAAATGAGAGAAATGCTCAACGTTTCTCCATTCATGTTAGCTTATTTCACAGAACCTCGAGACATCGAGAATCGAGGAATGATCCCGGGCTGGGACCAATTTGTCAGAAGTTCGCTGGCTGACTGGACCATGCTAAGACACTTCAAACTGCGTGTAGCTTAATTAGTTATAAATAAAGGCAAGCAGTCAGTCAGGTAGACAGACAAGATAAGAATAGATAGAACCCATTAGTACACCCCAGCAACGCGAAATAGAAAAGAAGTCTAACTTCGTCACGTTACGAGTTAGGCGTTCCTGCATATATAAATAAAAAGAATATAATGTTACTGCAGCTTTGTTTTCAGATTGCAAGAATAATTGCTGTTTCGATAATTTACCGTGTTTGGCCGTTTTATAATCTCCTTGTTATCCCCCTCGAAGCTGTTGAGTTGCTGAAGAGCCGCTTCCACGCTCAATACGTTCCAATTTGACATTCTTCGTGGGTCCATGTCGAAGCTGCGCCGATCGATCGAAAACGGATTTAAATATTGAAAATGTTAGGATATATATAGATATGTATATATATCTTCGTGCAAACGGTACACCGATTACGATTACACTCTAACATTACACTGTCCGTTGACAAAGGGAACAAATAAAACGTGCACTCTCACGATAACGTTGACAGCTTAGTTTTCAACATACAATGGCACACCGAGGAACGATAGGAAACTGTACACGATGTGTCACACAAACGATTCATGTATCACAATTACACAAAAAAATGCAGGTTTTAGGAAGATCGAAGATCGAGAAATCGCGTAGATTCTTCTTCAGAGGTGTTTCCTGATAAAGGATGGAAGAGTGGGCCATCTTCTGTGTGACACTCTTCCTTTGAAGCTTTTGGAAAAACAAACCAAAGTTCGAATTACGTAATTACCTTGTATTTTTCGTGATACTTGTACGAACTAAACGACGAACTTCTCTCCCTTTTTTGATACTTATCGTCAATTTGATTAGAACAATGCAACCATGGATGCTTACCGAAAATCGACCTACACGACCATCGTGATGTTCTTATGCTAAGCACCCTACGTTCTAGATCGGAGGTGAAAAATGTAACTAAAATAATCTTAACTTTCTGTCGTTCCCTAAAATAGCACGCTGGAGAGCTGTGCCACGCAAGGATGCACAGCCAACAGAGGGCCGTCATGGTACATTGCGGGACTTTTCGAAAATTCAACAACAAAAAACGCACTGTTTTCCATTTCACGTGATTGTCGTCGTGCTCCCATTGTCGCTATTTCTAGCCACGGTTAAATTCGAAGAAAATCGAGTTACCTGTGTTTTCATATCGGTCTCAGTCCATAAAAATCGATTCGTCTTCGCAGGACTTCTATTTAAAGGATTCAGAACACAAAAAAGGTACATTAGCAATGACAGACATCTGCTTTTTCCAATTTTGGTACTTTTATCCCACATTACTTGTAAGTTAAATAAAAGAAAAGAAGATAGAGAGAGAAAGAAGGACGAAAGATATAGGAAAGGAAGAAAGGATTGTGGGGTCTTTTTAAGAGTTCAATTGCATAATGTAAAGAGATATCACTGTTCTTAAAATATGAAATGTACAATTCTGTATTGTTTTACTTTCACTTCTATTATACTCGAAAAATTTTGCAAATGACAAGCGCCGTGTATGCACGACAGTTGTTGAATATCTTTTTGATTGCAGGCCAAATACATACCATTTGGCTAGGCGCCATTAGTAATTTGATTAATTAAGGCCGTATATAATGTACGAACAGTGATGGTGACTTACAGGATCTTACACCATGTAAATCTACTGTATTTAGTTTGTTTATAATTATTCCATGGACATAAATGTTTTCTTGTATCGAAAGTGTCACTAAATAATTCATTCGTGTTCTCAAACAGCGCTAAAGTATTCTATATAAATCGTAATGTTTAATGATACATATTGTTTACTTTAATTTGTTGAAAAAAAAAATAATGAAAAAGAAAAAAAAATTTGTACCTGTTGGTATGTTTGCAAATTGTCATTCAAGATGGCGTTCGAAGTTTCGTGTTACCAACTGTAGGTGTACAGATTCGAGAAGATGGGACTCGAGTGCATTTGTATAAACATAAATAATAATTTTCAATTTCTCCCGTGCATGTTATTAACTAAGTACATGGATGTGTAATATTTTAAGGTAGATGGAATAAATGGTGAATATGAATCATAATCTCGTTAACAATTAGTTGCATATATTTTTGCAATCGATTGCGAGTTTCAATGCGTATGGAAATCTCGCTTTTCATTTAATATGATCTTTGCATATAACTGCACAATAGCAATATGTTATCAATAATGTTCATTCTTTCCGCTCTTTGTTTCCATATATGTTAACTTATCGGTGGTAACTAGTGACAGCATTTGTTATCTAACAATAAGAAAATGTGTAAGCACATACGTTAATCGATCATCAAAATGGCGATTGCAAAAGTGGTATTTCGCAATAGATCGCAACAAATTTGCTTTGATAGATTACAAAAAAGATTATTTGAAGAGTGTCATGAGTTAATTTTAATCTGGGAAAAAATGGAAACGTTATATGATTATATTCGTAGTATTTAAAAATGGAGGTATATTTTTTTATCTTGGCGATATACTTTCAGACGTAGAAGTGGTATGATAAAAATACTAAATATCATCGAGTCGAAGTTAACTATCGCATGGTGGCTATTTTACGCAAAATTGGAAATCAAATGAATTCTATTTTGAAATTCCAATGAAATATTTTATATATTTTTAAAGCGCAAAATAACATCAAGGGTCTTATTTCTTATTTTTTTATTTTTACATTGTTATTCATACACGAAAGATTATATTTCGATTTATTCCACATTTAATTCACATGTATGTATATTTAAAGATTTGCAAGGAAGTACAGCAGCGCCTCTATCGATTTCGATGTTCAATAACCACGAGTTTCCCTTTTTTTCTCTTCTACACTTTTTAAAATATTGGTTTTTGTTTCTCTCGATCTAAATAATTAATTGTTTCATCATTAATTTACTCTAAGTTTATCTACATTGCCTTTTCCTCTTTTATTTTTCACATGTCTATCCTTTGTTTTTTCTTTCCCACTCAGGGCGGATGTATTCTCCATCTTTGTTCTATATGCACAGCGACCCTGGCGAGCGCTTCTGTAGCTATAAAAGGGACCGCATTCATCGTAACACGCATTAGCCGTTGCGTCGTTGTAGTGAACGAATGATATGGTATGTTATTTTTTGATTAACAAAATAAAATAAGCAAAAAGCAAGACAGAGTAACAACATTGCAATTCTAACTGTTAATCAGTGCGTGTTACACTTGCGTGGAAACACAACCTCAAAACGTACATAACCAAAAATATAGCAATCGAAGACTTATAACGCCTTGAAATACGTATGTTCTATATTTGTGTGCTCTTGTGTAATCGTGTTTATCTGTTGTGGCGGTAAAAGTGACCATTCCGCTTTAACAGTGATTATACAAATTTCTGCAGAGTTTAAAATAATCTTATTAAAAATACAAAAAGGTAGGAGAACTAATACGAGGGGAGATTGATTTTTATCATAAACATCTTAAAGTATACGTTACATTTTACTGTATCCTTATTTCAGTGGTATGAAATACCGTGACGAATACGAATCAAACAATCGACAGGAGCTATACAGCGAAGAAAGAGAAAAGGAATAGAAGAAAAAGAAGCACAAGGGTCGTCAAGATCTTTTTAGCGCGAAGCACACAGCCTGACTGTCATACCGATAATTATCATTGAAGAACTGATCTCAGTGCTTTTATCCCCCGCATTGCGGCAGTATGAAATAACAAGAGGCTTCATTTGATCGACAAAATCGACTACGGTAGTAGAGGCGGCGACCGCCTGATTTGTAGCGTCCGTACTCAGTCCTCAGTGTAGGCTAGTCGGACGCTTGGTAGTCGTTGTCTGAATAATTTCTCGACGCTCGTTTTCTTGGTAAATTTTTTTTCTGAAAAGACATTTCGTTATTGGAAAGACTTTTGAATTAGTGTTATTTTCGGATCGCTATATCAGTGTGAAGATACAACTATATTCTCAAGGGTGTTTCCGGGAGAGGTTATCTTGGGATAAACAAACTGCAAAAGAAAGAGAAATTTATTGTGTTCCCCCTTCTCTCTTCAACGATAACGATTACGAAAACACAGATTAAAAATTAACGAAGAAGCTGAAGGATCAAAAATATCAACGAAATTCAAATAATTTTGACAAAGAGGAATATTCGATACGACGTACAAACATGGCGGTAAACATGTATATGCAACAGAATTGTACAGACTCAACTGGATTTCTATATGACATGATTACAAAGGAAATATGGACGCCATGGGAAGTCGCGGCGGAATATTTCGATTATGCACCATGGCTCTTTTCTTTACTTGGAAGTACCATGATTGGACTGACTGGTATCTTCCCATTATTGGTCATCCCCATTGAAGAAGGTGCTGATTTAAAATCTGGAGGTAAACTTTTATTGGCACCTAATAATTATCTGCTCTCTTGTTGTCACGATATTTTCTTTGATCAACGTGATCCCACATGATACATGTGAAATCATATTTTTCTGCTGCAATTCCAAGCTACTAAAGGAGGTTATGTGTACATTTTAATGCGCACGCGGGAAATGGCTTCATGATAGGTTAGTATGGGAGATCTGTATCAATGAGATAATTCGTCACACTTAAATTTGTAGCACACAAATGAAGTTTGCCAATATAAATTCTCAATTAATTAATTGATCTTTAGTCTTTAAATTACGTTTTGTTTACTGAAAGATTAGATTATTGATAACGACTAATGAGATTAACCAATACTTTTTAATGAAATACTGCGAAATTATCTAATCTTTTCATCAATTTTTTACAATAAATTGCAATAAAAAATTATAAATAGAGATAAGTGCGGTAGGTAGTGTGCATTAGTAATTACAAGACGAGGCCAATTTTTTTTTGTGATACATACTCGATAAGATACAAATAATAATCCTTATAAAGTGGTAAATCACTTTAATTAATATTCATAGCAAGTAATCGTAAAGATTAGATTTTTAATGCATGCATTTTTGAAGTCATTTGAAAAAATATTGTCGCATTTTAATACAAATAGCGTAACATTTTAAATAAATTTATTTCCTAGTGATTTCTTTTGTTAAAATGTTTTTCAGAGTTCGTAAAAGCAATATCTTTTGGCAGTAATAATATTCGATGCAAATATTTGATAAAAGCACGTGATTGTTGTGTTTAAAGCAAGGCAAATGCAAGTAAATATTTGTGCAAAATTGCTACGTTACAATTTTCGTTCTTTTGTTAGGTTATAAGCCGTTAACATTTCAAACGCATTACTTGCAAATTAATATTTATTACTGTTGCCATTTTATATTGTATTAATAACAAATAATAGAGTATGAATAATGGGTTTGATACAATTCAAATATTGAACTTTCCCGCTATGAATATTCATAAAATTATGGTTAGTGGTATTATTTTCTGTTTTATTCTTTAAATAGCCCACGAATACAGCATAATAGCGTTAGATTAACATATTATTTTACGTTTCAAAACAAGGTGTACATCCTTAAAGAATTGCGTAAGATTTACGTTAGCATTTTTATTCTTCGACTATGTCAATGCTCGATCGATGAACCATGACTGTTGTAATGCAATAGGACAAGATTATTTACCGTGCTTTCACTAGAAACGTGTGGTCGATGCGAACGAATCGAATTGCCTGAAAGGGCAGAAAGACAATTTAATCGTTGTACACTTCCGTCTTGTACTATTTTTGCCAACTTTTACTAAATCACAGTTCCTCGAAGTATAAAAAGAATATAACGGTGTTTCCAAGCAAGAATTACGCGACGTCTCGGAAAGTAACGTTACTGCGTTCTTCTAAATGACAGCTGTTTACAATGTCTTCTTTTTCCTTGTTCTGGCTTAAAAAAAAAGAATTCTATAATTTCGTGTACGCGATATTGTCGTGTTCCTCGAATAATATGGTGGCGCAGTAGACGAGATAAAAATAATGACGCGTTATTACGTCAAGTAAGATCCTCTCCGATGCACGAAAAAGAAACGCACTCGGCCACGTGAAAGATTCTGCTGCGCATATTGTTTGCTGCGTCGCTCGATGCTTCGTGCCAGCAGTCTTCTTTCGAAGTGTAATCTTGTCTCTTTCAACAGAACATGCAGCAAATCGCGCCAGAATATTTCCGCTACGCTCGTATCGTGTGCATTTGGATATCGCATGAGTAGCAGAGAAAAGTGAGTGAATGGAAAATATTTCTCGAAAATGTTTTTTCTTTCTTAAATCGTCAACCAGCCATTTTCTATTCGTAATTATCTTTTGAAAAAACGTAAAGGTAGATGCACAACTCAGAAGCGGAGTAGAGAGTCGAAATGGAATGCCCAACGGTTCGACCGACAAAAAACCATCCTAACCGACCGGATACATGCTTCGAAAGAAAGATGGAGCTACGTTTTGACCTGCTCCCAACGGTCGAGGGTTAATTTCAAACTCTTCGACGAGCGACGTATTTTCCAGTGTTGTCATATTTCGGAGGCAGCCGCGTCTGTGGCTACGTTCAAGTAGTTGCGTATTGATGCAAAACGAAATCGTGAAAATGCAGGCAGGATAAATAGGAAAGAGAAGGATGGTCCCCATTGTACGAGGTGCGTTAACAGAATCCGTGGTCCGTGTTAATGCGCGAGACTGCTTGTTCCACGCCAATGCGAGCACGCAAGGTCGTGGAACTTGTTTCCGACGAGTGTGCGTCGCAACAATGGAATTTGCAAATTAAGATAACAAGTAGGAAATATAAACGTAACTTTTTTACGTACTTAGATTATGTTGGTTGGCGAGGAAAACGGACATTTGCCGATTGTAGACATTCTTCGAGCAACAATTTTTCTATTTGAATTTTGTTCTTTTCCATTTTCTCTTTAAGCGAACCTTCCTCGATTTATATGAAAAATATTCAGGTAGCCATGATGGAGGATTTCTTCGAAGTATCGTTTGAAAATTTTGCATTCAAGAAATAGAATTGGAAGGATGGAATTTCCTATTCTCGAGTGTCCAAGGATCGACTAGGGGAAGATGTTTCAGTACTTAAAGGTTAAATCAGAGTAAATAATGGCGCGAGAGGTGCTCGAATCGCACGAATGAAAGAACGTTGTAGAGTTCACGTGTGTGGAAGGCATTGTGTCGCAACACATACGGAACTCCGAAGGTCGTGGAACCTGTTGGACATAGCGGATAATACGAATGAAATTTCCAATTCCTCTGTGGGTGGAACGTACGTGTGTACGTGTAACGTCGTATTAACCTGTAGACAGAATTCAAGGGTATGTTGCAGTCGGAGCGTGCTCACCAGACGATTTCGGTGTGTCTTCATTGAGCATTATGTGGAAATTAGTATTATGCAAACGTTAACTGCATATGAAGTAAGTTCCTTTAATTCGTTGACACTTTATGTAGATGTATTTCCTGTTTATATAAACATTATGTTAGCCAGCACTGAGGAAAACTTGAAATTCCTTATGGCGTCAATTCGTCAATTTCTTTTCTGCCGTAGCCTATTGTGCAGTGTTGTCTATTCATTTCTATATCGAAACATCTTGTGTGAAATTCCAGGGGACTCGTAAGTTACGAAGGGCGTCCAAGAGTCCCTCGTCGAAGAAAGAACCGAGCAGCTGTTGTGGTTCGCTTTCACCAGAACCTTCGATTACATCTAGATGGGAAGAAGGGAAACTGGAAATAATTGATACGGTACTGCGCGCTCGCTACGCATACGTATTATATTGAGAACTCGTTAACGTTATTCTTAAGGTAGTTTCCACTCTTGCAGTTCCGTTGGTCGTGGTTTTACAATATGGCTCACAGAGAATATGCGATTTCTGAGCTCTTACGTTCTAGAATTCACTCGCAAAGGACGATCGATAGTTGTAGGGCCGTCTAAACGCTAAATTGCAACCGGCAAAACTGAATTTAAATTGTTTTCAGTAGCACGGTAAAAATCTACAAATTACGGTTTCTTTCGACCAAGTCGAAATTATTTCCCTCTCGTATATAACCAATTATTTCTCTCGTTTATAATTTAAGCAAGATTCGTACTCCTTTTTGTTCTCCTTTCATATTTCATGGAGTTACGTGAATCATACGTTCTTTTTACCCAGCTCGAGCGTCCCATTTGGTCATCGACATTTCAGGGCAGTTGCTCGTCCTCTTCTTTTTTGTTTCGCTCATCTCGGTGTACAGGGATTAAGGAAAGTGTCCTATTTACATTGTGAAACTGCATATCGATGTGCAAGGTTGCGTAAGCCGATTTTCTGCCATTTGATCGGATTGCACTCTCGTTTGCATGTATCCTCCGATCCTTCGATCTCCTATTCTCAATAGTTTCTCCATTACTGATTTGGTTACTTCGCTATCCTTCTTCGTTTACTCTCTCTTCGATCATGCTAATATTCCAATGTTGTCAATTACTCTCTGATACTGGATGTATCAAAATCCAACTTCAAGCGCCTGTATAACTCAAAATAATTATTAAATTATAGATCAAATGATAGCACATTCTATGCTTTTGAACGTTTTTCGAGTATCTTCAAAACTGTATATCTCGGTAAAAAAAAAAAAGACATACGATTGTATATCAAATTCGATTTTACAACGATTGGTACTGTACGATGTAGTTGATCAAAATATTGGGCAAAAATGACTATCTTCGCAATATTTCCTTAAATACAAAAATCGATATTCTCTATTATTGGTCTTCCAGGCATAACATTATAAGCAACTTTTGCTGCCGGATTCGGATTCAATGTACAAAGTTATGTAATTTTGTCGGCAGAATTTTTTATGGAAACGGATAAAAATTATAGATGAAAAGAAATGTAAATTGTGATTATTTCTCTTTTGCTATATAAGTAAAGAAGCGATACATTAATCTCAAAGGACATTAAAAATTATAGTCTATCATTCTGTCGTGTACCGTAGGTTCTACACCGGTTCATCGTCAAGTCTTCATTTAGAGCGCAACGATCATTATGAACGAATCTGGAAACATTCTCGTGGATCGTACACGAAACGACGGTTTCTCCTGTTCTAACCGAGGGAACGATTGTTCTGGAATGAATCTATTATCGAGCTCGTCTCGTTGCTCTGCCCACGACGATTCGCGCTCTCAGATGCGTTCTTCGTTTCTTTTTCACTTAACCCGATCGCTATTGGACTACATCTAGTGGTCTTTTGGATGAGCGAGTTCGTCAGCTGCATCGAAACATGCAGTTAATTTCTTCGAATGCTTCTGCACGCCATCCAATCGATTTTTCTATTTTAAAACCATGCGACACATACATTTCTCTATATACCCACGTAATTACACGTGCGAACGATACCACGACGAATTTCATCCGATACAGAACCCGTTAACGTGTCGACAGACTGGTATTTCCTTCGATCAAATGTATCCTTACGTTTTCTTTGTTACAAGTACTCTATAGGTTGTCGGCAGATTAATCATCCTATTAGAGGCAATTAGAGACAATTCAGGCGTGTGCATTTATTATCGGATGTCTCCATTTTCTATGCGTTAATCACAGCTCTGTCGTATTATTTTCAGTAATGCGTCGTCACGTTTATTCTGGTCGTGACCGGATGAGATAATGGACGATCTTTTAGCGACATTTTTGTTAATTGTCCTGCAGTATCTATGCACGCGAAGCACTGTTACGCGACGTGACAATTCTCAAAATGGCAAGCATGCGAGGAATGGAAAAACTGTTTCACACGATCAGGTAACAAGGTAATTACGCGAAATTGCCATAATGGCAAGATGTGTCTCGTGTTCAGAGATCCTAAGGAACATATTGCCGAGTGTAATTAACCATCGATCATGTGTTGCAGCAATTTCGTCCAATAGCTGGTATACGACGTTTGAAAGCGCAAACCGCGAAAAACCTGCCGCCGATCTTGCGTACCTATCGACAGATATGATATATCGGATAAGGAAGAATGAAAAATATACGAAACAATGAGTGTCGATATTGTTATTCATCGATTCCCGATAGGGTATCAAATTTGTCGATAACTTTGTAGCGACATTGTAATTATTCCACCGTGTGTCTGCCATTTTGCGAAGTATCTCGTCTACTTTCTTCCAACAATGTAAATTTTATTCTACATTACCGCGATAGTTACTTCGGTTCTGTTTGTATCACGCGTTTTCTCCAATCAAAATATTCAGACTATTTATAATTCTCGTCGACTCCGAATAAGACCGGGTAATTAGGTATTCGTAGAAGCACGACAGAGCGTTCTAACCTATGCAAATCTTTGTGTATCAATAACTTGAGATTCCAAGAAATTCTTGGCTTAGCAACATCGTGCAATGTTTCGTCATAAAAACAGCGCAGAATGATCCGTAAACGGTTCTAGGAATTTCTTGTGGATGTAAAGGATCTAATTACTGTTCGATCCGCATCAAAATATTGCAAAGAGAAAAATTAGTCCTCTAGGTTTGTAAGCAACGAATGCGCTAACAGTTATCTGTCGATGTATTATCACTAGAATGTAATTTAGAAGCAGATTCGATCATCGCCTCGCGTGACAGGTTCATTTCCTTGCTGGGTATGTTTACATCTTTTGTTTCCTCGTGATGCATCAAAAGTAGTACATACATATGCGCAGCAGTGTTTTAGATATACGGGGTGTTCCCAGTAATATTAATTCAGAGTAATCAAAGCAAAACAATATCAAAATGGAAGATAGTGTATACATAGACGCATTGTGGGGAATTCCGTTGGCGTTTAAAATTAATGCTTTATCTCTGGTTCTATTATCTGTAAATGCCTTTGAAATTGGAGTATCACAACTGTGATCTATGATTTTATAGAGATTACCCTGTACTTAGAAAATAACGATCTTACTCGAGTGATATTTCACTATCGATTTCTGTATGTGCGTAATTATTTGAAAGTCGAGTCGCAGAAAACTATCTGGTAAAAAAGAAAAAAGTGTCGCTATCATCTAGATTCTGTTTACGATGATTGTAACCAGACGATAGAAAGTGGTTTTCCCTAGAGTAGCGTCTGCTGCTATAGCAGCACAAAATGGAGGTCAGCCGTTACTTTTTACATCGACGCCTGATCGTTCGTGAAATTTTCGGCTGCCTCGCGTAAATAATTCCTGTGCAGTGGTCAAGCGATTATTTAAGATTACGCGAGTTGCATAACAGGCAAAAACGAGAACGCATAACTCGATACCGTTTGTTTATCTGGTCATGAGTGTAAACGAAACAAGGAAATGGGTTTCCCGTTGCAACAACCGTTTATTGCGAGCGTGTCATCGTTGATTTTATTACTAATGACTTATTGTTCTTTTGATCGATTCATGGAACCGTGGTGTCGCAACGCTTTCACAATAATGGATGATGATGATAGAAAATGCGTGCATCTCTAATAATGGTGCAACTTTTTTCTCGGTTGCCAGAAGAATAACGGTCGATAAACGTTTAATTCAGGCGAGCAATAGACAGTGCTATCTGTGCCAACATGCAAACGTCGATTAGTGTTAAAAGTAAACGTAGAAACGCAAAATTGATTGCACCAATAGTATCGATCACGAGGTCATCGTGGGTTCGTGATGTCGCGAAAAGAAATACTCGAAAGCAGATTTAGCGTGTTATCGAAGAACATGTTTTCATAGTTAAAAGACGGGGGTGTTGTAAAAAGGATAATATTGTTTTTGTTAACCCTTGATCGTTAGACGTTTCAAGATAAATCGAGTTATTGGTTGGTTTATCGTTAATGTTCCCGATTTATAATACAGCTCTCAATTGAATTTGTAAGTTGCTGATGCAAACGTTAGGGTATGCAGACCGATGTTGGATAAGTGATTTTTATAGCTCGTAATTAGCAACAATAATTACAACAATACAATGCCGATCCATAGGTCACTGTACCGTGTAAGCTTATTCAGCGTCTTGAAACAAACAGACATTTATCGCGTAAAATAATTAGTAATAGCGCGTCACATTTACTGTTCGAGCTATAGATACATTAAATAACGGTACATCGACCATCTTGGATACGCGCTTGCATGTTGCACGACAATGTGAAACAATTCGAATTTGAATCTAAATTCGAACTTTTGCTTTCAAATATTCATACTGCATTTTATCTCATTCTTCTGCAAAAGTAGATCAAGGTTCATCGAGCAATAATCTCATATCCAACGAAACGACTGCACTTTGTCATTAAATTTAAGATAAACATATAGTAATCGTTCCTCACTTGCTGCGAAGCTTAATTTACAGATAACTAACTAATTCGCAATAAGCCTTGAAGATGCTCGAACATCTATTAAAAATCGATTAAGAATAATCATTTAAGATATTATATATATAATATAATATTTTAAAACGATTATACTCTGTTTTTCGGGAGTAAAGATAACGAGTTTTACGTAAGCAGCCTAATAAGATATCGCCAAATCGCAAATTGCAGACAGAAAGGAATTCGAGAATAATCTGATTCGATTTAACGCGTGAGCTACTAACACAAATATTGATGTAGTTGGCAATCTGGTTACTAACGAGATACTGTCTGATCGTTCAAATGATACGTAACCTCTTGACAAACTTCAGGAAAATAGCTGGATATTTAATGTAAAAAACGTTCCTTTCTCATTTTATCGTCGTTTGCTTAGAGAAAAGGAGATAAGAACTGAATTGGATTTTAACGAAATCAGTGACCCATACGCGAAAGGAAATCAAGCAATGGAAAAATTATTAGCATCGCACGATTAAGTTCGAATTTATCAGTGTCATGCAGGAAAAACCGATCGCACACGCGTGCGTACACTTGCGCGCGTGTTTGTGCGTAGGACGAGGTTCAGGCCAATTTTCTGAAACATCTTTGATCTGTTATATTAAACATCCTACGCTGCTTTTCAGTCCAGCGACGTATAATAAGTTTCTTCATGCTGTACTTCGTAATTTTTTTAATATTATAAATTCCACAGAGAAATTTACCTAATCGTGATGGCTCATCTTATTAAATTTGTAATAAATTTGACGTGTGTAATTTTTATTAATTCGCCTCTATTTCTGTTACAGATAGCGCTGATAAGCTGAAGATATTGCTGAGCTTCGCCGTCGGTGGTCTTCTGGGAGATGTCTTCTTACATCTGTTACCGGAAGCATGGGCAAACAGCTCTTTGAACAGAGGTACGAAAATACTGCCAGGAGCGTCTGATAGTCATCTAGCAAGAAAAATGTATTTAATCAAAGGAAACGAAAAGAACTGGAAGGACAAAAATTGTCTAGCTAATAAAATAGCAGCAACTCGTCGTTGCTTGCTCGTGCAACAAAGTGGCAAGAAGAATGTTTCGTGAATCATTGGGACATGAGTCACACGAGATAATGAGCGAGCCAATCGTAGTGCTCGTATGAATGAACTTCGGACGAAATGCTTCGTTACTTTCCCTTTTTGAGTTTCGGGAATCCTGAAATATTTTACAATTGTTAATCCCTCGAGTTAAACAACGATCTCTATCGACGATGGTAATTTGTTAGTCGCTTACCAGTATTCAAATTACTTTGTTAGTCACGCACAATTAATATTGCGCCAAGTTTAGGTGTATTCTCTGTTGCTATGTTCGCTTCGAACATTCCCTGAGCTTTCACTCTGTCGCTAAATCAGCTTCAGTTTCCAAGTTGTATCTAGATGCATGGTTTCCTCGAATTAATATTGAAATTCAAGTGTGGTATTAATCGCTGATAAATTCGAGACGATAACGCGAAAGTTATCGTAACTTACAGAGAACTACGCCCCTCGAGTGACTTTCAATTTGTAAATTCTTTACATGGTATTAACGTAACATTATGTAATGGACGCAACGAATTACTTAACAATAATGCGCGCAAAAGGTCATATGTACTGCGAAAGTTGTCAGAATGTCACTCGGGATGAAAGCCTTGCACGATCCGATTCGGGAAGACTCTCAAGTTTATGATGTATAAAAGGGCAAAACGAGTTTGGAAAGAATTACATGACAATGGTGTCAAAGATTAAAGTTGAGGGCGTTGAGGATCAATCAATTAGCGCTGTAATCATCATTGTATCCAATGTGAAATGCGACTGATCTCTTTTTACTTCTCTTCGTGACGTTGAATTGCTTTTATTAGTCTTTTTATTCTCGTGAAGGTTTCGAACATTCCACAATGCGAAAGCAGTAACGATTTAAAAATTTTTCCCGTTAGAGCCGGTCAAGTTTTGTTTGTTTGAAGATTATTCGTAACGGTACACGTTTAATTCTATTGTACGACTGGTATTGAGCGAGAAACAGTGCAATCTTTTTTCAATCGAAGGCCATGTATCTAAATTGTACACCACTTAGGGCACAGCCTGCTGCAATTCATCATATTAGATTTATGCTAAGCGTGACTCGAGGCAATCCTTCACCTTTGTCGACTGCTTTGTGAACGGTTCAACCGTCGCTCTGAAATCCTATTATGCTTCAGTTGCGGATTTCAATTGCCAGCTGTCCTCTCATAAATTAAACTGACTCGTATCTAGCCCATCTACAATTCTACAGTTAGTTACGCGACCGCATACTTTTATAGATAATTGCAAAATTATGCCAACCTTTAAAACCGTTTTGTTTTTCCGATTATATAGAAAACCGTTTCTGTTTTAGGAAAGGATGCTGGACATCCATCGATGACTTGCGGTTTATGGGTCCTAGGAGGCTTTTTGGTGTTCGTTATAGTGGAGAAGCTATTTACGTTTGAACAGGAGACTGAAAATGAGGATGACTCAACGAGCAATGCAGAAGTATGCGAGAAAGTCGACATCGAGGCTGAAAAAGAGATGGAGAATAACAATTGTATCAATTTGATCGGGAATAATCCGAAGAATGGTTTGACAAAGAAGAATTCTAATGATTTCCCGAAAATCATTAATGAGGTAATTAATAAATTCTATGGAAATACATAGTCAGAATTATGCGTACATATAACATTGTTTCAACTGCTTTGAATTACCATTACAGTTAGAACCCTTTTTGGAAGAGAAGAATGGATACTCTCAATTGCCAAATGGTTTCAAAGTAATACACAAAAATGGTTTTGTCGCCAACGGTGTTAAGCCGATATTAATATGTAATGAATTATCGAATACATTAAAAGGCTTGCCACTGGATGAGGCAAAAGATTGTCTGAAGAAACTAGTGAAAACTAATGGTTTTTCGACTGAACTAACAAAAGATCGTTTGAAGAAAGATAACGTAGAAAATACCTCCAGTAATAAAAAAGTTACTGCAAAGGAAAAGCCCAGACATATAACTGGCTATCTTAATCTAATGGCCAATATTATAGACAACTTCACTCATGGATTGGCTGTAGGTGGTTCTTTCCTTGTGTCCTTCCGTCTGGGAGTCCTTACAACGTTTGCTATACTCATACACGAGATTCCTCACGAAGTCGGCGATTTTGCGATTTTACTACGCAGCGGATTCAACAGATGGGATGCTGCGCGGGCGCAGCTTCTCACTGCTAGTGGTGGCATTTTTGGAGCCATGACCGCGGTATTCTTTTCCAGCGGCGTAATGGGTAAGTAATATCTTACAAAATTGTAATAAAAACAGCTTTGGAATTTCTTCATTGTGTGAATACATTTCTTAACGGTTTCTAACCAATTGTTCTTCTTCAGGGGCAAAAACTAGTTGGATTTTACCCTTCACCGCAGGTGGTTTCCTTCATATTGGTATGGTGACCATTCTACCTGAGCTCCTTAAGGAAACTAGTTTCAAAGAATCTTTGAAACAACTAGTCGCGTTGATCTTCGGTGTTATCATGATGGCAGTTTTAACAATTCTTTGTGACTGAAATGATTACTTCGGTTTGCAATAGTGTTAGGTTCTCAACCTGTCGATATATATCGATACCTATTGGGTGCACGTTTTTTTTGTATTAACGTCTCTTGATACGTGTCGGAACAAGTAATTCGAGTTTGCCATAAGAAGTTCTACTGCGTAATACTTGTTGCTCAATAATGGTGCATCTACACCGAAAGATGGCGAAAAAGAGAAACGATGGTTAATGACTGACCAAATTCTTGTATAAATTACGCAACTTTTGTACTGAGTTTAGTTTAAAATAGAGGGTTCTATAGTTATCTGTATATTTGAAATGGCTAATAGTTTAATACACTACCTAATTGTTTTTAAATTTTTGTAGTCGTTCTTAAACAGTTTAGTTTCAGTTTTCACTTCGGTAATCTACACCATCGAATGACGATCTCCTTTTACGGTAGATAATGTTCTTCGTGAGATGAAGAAAAGGGGCTATTTGTATAAATTACTTACATATTTTTCGATCGTTTATTGAGGATCGTATTATTGGCAATTCGGTATTAACAGCTTATTGTTATTATATTAGAGAATACTGTTATAAACCTGGAATAGTTTATACATAAATATACATATGTTCCTCCATAAACAGTCGAAAGCATGTTGCATGAAACGTCATTCCGTTTCTATGATACCGACTTACTTTGCACTTAAACTTTGTTATCTAGGCGTTACCAGTATTGACGTGTGATTTTCACGTGGTAAAACAAATCATTCTGTACATAATATTTATGCTTCCTTGTTTACTGTTAAAAAAAAAGAACCTTGAAACTAAAAAAAATTTTGTAAATTACGCACAGAAAAATAAGTGTTTTTGGATAATACATGTATCGTTTTATTCGATGCGTGCATTCCGACAATGTATATTTTAAGTTCCTACAGTGTATTATAAATAATATATCGAACTCTTAACTACCTTATTATGAAAATAACAAAAAATATATTCCTGAAGATAAACATAAAAATATTTATATATCAGACCACAATGGAAAAGTATACAAAAAATTATATAAAATCTGTACAATTGATATGTAGATATAGAGTCACGGTATTTAATAAAATTTTAAAGATTATGTAAACTCACGTATTTTAGAGAAATTTACGAATTAGATAAATCATTGAACCAAAGGAGATGTACATCTATTCTCCATAGTCTCGTGTATCATTTAATGGTGTAGGTTTTATAAACCGAATGAATCAAATACAATCCTTGTACTTAAAGGATTATTCTTTTGCAAAAAAAAAAAAAAAATACATGTTACATGAGCATTCTTTTTAAGCACGTGTAAATAGAAGTCAGAACTTATGAAGTTGGTTTACTCAGCGATTTGGCAACTATATTTTCTATAAACTATGACTACACGAGCATATTGTTCATATGTAATAATTATTATTTGTAAATAAACTATTTTATTCTATAATACAGGGTTTGAAACTCTTTCTTTTTTTTGACTTTTATAAAAGAACGCAAATATGAACGGTACAAAATAATTTATTAAATAATTTTTTTAAAACATAAAAATACATAACATTTTACATTTACTAGATAGGTAACTCAAATGTCTTACACACTCTATGTACATTGTAGTTTCTTATTTTTCATATATATACACATTCACTCATTTTATGATAAATTACACTTATTTCATTCATTCATTAAAACTGATAATACGTTTTTTACCAAATGTACATAGTAACGATCTATAGAATATCCACAATTAGTACTTAAAGTATTTGTTTGAAACAGAAAAACTTTATCACGCATAAAACTTTGTACACTCGTAACTTCACAACGCAAAATAAATATCGGAGCTGTGCTCGTACGAAAATCTTTATAAGTTTTATTTTTTGTTATTGTTTATAATTCATCGTGAGGATTTTCAGTTTGAAGTTTGTCTACTAATAAATTTAAGTCTTCATAAAAATTTAATAAATGTTGTATGATGGGAAGCAATTCATCTTTACTTTCTTTAAACCGGTCTGAACAAATAGAAGCAGCAGTGATCATACTATTGGAAATAGTTTCAAGAAATTCATAATTATCAATTGCTGATTGATCACTAAGTCCATCTTTGAAACTTGTTATCATGAGATTGCACAAATGATTACAATATTCGTACGTTAATAATTTTTTTTCAATATTTGCAGTTGCATATGCATTTACTTTTAATTGATGTTGTATAGCATCAGTAATTTTTTCTAAGTTTTGTCTCTCTATAATTAAGTCATTGATGAGATTCATAACTTTCATTTGTACCTGTAACTGGTCATTAATTAACATTTTTCCAAATATTTCTATTCCTCCATGATCAATCCATACTTTCTGTGCTGCAGGAAACTGTCTAATCAAAGCACTTAAAGCAAAAAGACATCTAGACTTCACTTCCACTTTACTATGTGTGGTCAATATATGTAAAAGTTTCTGAACAAGATCATTTTCTAATGCTTTTAATTGTACATTAGGGTTAGATTGTACAGCTACACCTAAAACCCTCAAAGCCTCAGTCTTTATTTCGTTGTTTGTTCCATTGAGACATGGAGATATTATTTTATTCATGCTATAATTGAAAAACCATATAAAAGTTATTCTGACACTTCCATTTTAAGAAAAAGATATAATTTTTGTACTTACCCTTGCATATTAGCAAAAACTTTAGCATTATCAATATGATGAAGCAAGTATTCCAAATTGTATAAAATATCTAAAACCTCTTCTGTTTCTGCAGTTGTCAATGTTCCTAAGGTGATTCCATTTTTATGAATTTGAAACTTTTGAAAATAATTGTTTAACAATTCTGAATCAGTTGTAATGTTTACTTCAAGTGCTTTAAACTCTTTCTTCAAAGTTTCATAATCTTTAAACTTTTGTTTTACTCGTAGTGTGTGTTCATCCTAAGAATATAAATGACTTAAAGAAGTTATTTTTTAGATATTACATTCTGATTATTGTAAAAAATAATTACATCTAATTCTGGTATATTTTTTCCATCATCCTGTGTAATTTTTTTCAATCTAGCTGTTAATTCTTCGATTGGATGTTTAAACAAATAAGATTTTTCTATGGGTACAGGATCCTTTTTTTCAAGGATTGCTTTTTCAGGATGTAATGTTAAAGAATTAGTACTTGAAGTATTCAGTGTTCCATTTGCATTTTTTTCTTCCACATTTTCATTGTCCATTAATTTAGCTTCTGTTACTCCAGTTTGAAAATTGTGTCTTATATGTAACCCCCCTGGTAGAGGTGTACCTAATAAATAATTAAAAAAGAGTTTACATAATAACACCATAAACTGTATTTTTCATGAATAAATAACTGAATTATAAAATTAATCGGATAGTGGACGAATTAATTTGCACCTTTAAATCAAATTCTGTGTACGTCACTGTTGTATATAATTTACAAGATATCGTATTTCAACACGTAATATGTATTTTAAATATATTTTAAATGTTTTAAATTATCGTAAAAATTTTGTATAAAATTGATGAATATACATTTACAAAAAGATCTGAAAATCATGATTTATTTTCTTAAAGAAAATCCGACGTCAAATTTGACTGACGTGGTCTTAGGAAGAACATAATCAGTTGCGTAAAATAGTCCCAAAATGTACATATAATAAAATTAAGAAAATATCTACTTACCCTTTTTCACAGTTTGCCATTCACGGGTTGGGACAAATGTCGTTTCATTTTTTTCAACATCGCCAAAGATTGTCGGTAACAAAAGTAAACAAGTTATAATAATCATATTGGCTTCCATTCTCATCTGTTCCTATGGTCGACCAAGGGCTACGAATTTTCTCAAGATATGATGACGACTTTTCATAAAATTGTCAAAAATTTCTTGAAAAATTTAGATTAACTGTATTGTAATAATTTTTCTATTTTTCTATAAGATTCTTTCATTATGTCTTTATTCAATTTAAGTATTATTCACGTGTTGCTCTCGATATTTATGTAGTCAGTGTGTCAATGCTAGTTTCATGTTCTTACCACCAGGGTTTACGTAGACCAATAATCGTTCAGTACAACGTTGCCAAATTTTCTATTCAAATCGTATTACTATTCATTAAACGTTTTTACATGATTACTTAGGATTGGTACATTTAATAGAAAGAATATTTTCAGAGCCATATTTTTCTAATGTATGTATTCCAAAATGTGCAATATTTAATATTTTATTTATTTTGTTATATAAAAATTACATAGTTTAGTACATTCAGAAGACATTTTTTTATGAAATATTTAAAAATTAGTACAATTTTTTGTGATCATTCAACACTAATGAAATCTTTCATCAAATAACGAATAGCATGTGCTTTTCCTACGTCTGTTTTTGTCTTAGAAATAATTTATAGCTTCAATTTTGTATTATTTTTCATGATTTTTAAACATATTATTTAAAAAAAGATGATAATTAATCTGAAATTAAACAATTTGACTTTCTATTTGACTCATTTCTTTCATAACTGATATAATATAGGGGGGTAAATAATACCACTCGTAAAGACTTCAGTGCAGTTCGTGATATTACATGGCAACGCTGTTCACGGTAGTTGAAAGTGCATCGACCAATCAAAGAGGAGAACGTATTCTAGGCGCGCAAGGCTGAGTACGCGAAACTCATTTGCTACGCGTTCGTCTAGCACGTGCGACCACTGTTCTTCGCGCAGTGACCGTTGTGCGCGCGGCGTCTTTAGCTTCTCTACTCTCGTTCGGCACGCACACTCCAACGGGGTCCTTCTATACATCCACTAACGAGAATCCTTTAATATCAAACCGATCGTCATGGCAGAAGAGTATCTTTATGGTAAATATCAGAAACCGTGTTATCGTGAACGTTGTGGCTCCTTTATTTTGTGGCGCACGCGATTACTTTCGTCGTCATTAGCCATTCGACGCGAGCGGTATTATGGTCGAGACGCCGGCTGGTTTTCGGCCATTGTGACGAGCCCCCATTGTCTTCTAAAGAGCTAACGAACTTGCATTTTTTATCAAACTATGATACAACGGCAAGCATTTACGATATTCTGTGTGCGTACACTTGTGATTTGTGTGTCCAGGAATCACTCTCGAAGGACTCAATTCTAGCGAGGTATGGGATCCGGAGCACAAGAACGACGACGCAGACGGCACAAACCAACATTTCGGTGCTGATCAGAAGCTGATCATAAAAATGGTAAGTAGAAAATATCGATGAGAACACATTGGAAAGTTGCTTTGTGTCTTATTACTTTTTGATACGTTATGTATATTTCGTTTGCTTTTTATCGTGTTCCGTTAAGAATAACGGATTTTCGTTAACGCGCGATTTCCTCGGGGATGGTTCTTTTATTCGATCTACAATATATATTATCGATTTATGTGGATCCAGAACTCCAGGATTTTTACGAATAGTTTAGCATAATTTCATATATCTATTAACCGTGCAAAAATATATGACCAATATTTGGCGTCACTAGTAATCCCGATTTTTCGAGCGCTTTCATCACCTCTTGTTACGTTTGCGCGCGAATTTTTAATCGGGATGCGAAGCTATTAAACTATTATTCATTATAGCTTCTATTCTTTATTTTCATATGTTAAAATAACCTCGTTTTCTTTTCGAATATTCGAGAAACGGGTATAAGAATTTACGATGTTCATATTTATTTAATAAATATAATATTTATGTATATTTTATGTAAAAATAGCGCTAATTTTGGATAAACTAACCAACGTTTATATACGTATGTAAATGAAGAATGTTTGCCAAGGTTCTTTTTTTATATAGATATTCATAATTGTTTATAGCAGTCACGACCTATAGTTGATTGATGCTATTGAAATTAATGTCAATATAAATAGAATGTCTTTAGTGAAACTATGTAATAATCATATACAATTATCATCAGTATTATTGTTGTTGTTACTTCTATGTATACAGATACATGTATACACACATATACACATATATATATATATTCAAATAGTAAGTTTCAGATAAGATTTAAAATAAAATAATTTAAATAATTCCGAATAAAATTAAATTTTAACCAATTTTGTTTATTTATTTATTTATTTTTTTAAAGGCTCTTTTAGGTCCAGAGGCTAAACCTGGTGAACTCAATGTACTACAAGTTGAAGCAATGGGGCTAAAAGGACCCATCAAAACACCAATTGCTTTGCTGGAGATGGGGAAGACAGCACAGATTATTCTGGATCTTAGTTTTCCTGACCCTCCAGTCACATTTACTTTGGTTAAAGGAAGTGGTCCTGTTCACATAGTAGGACATAATCTACTTGGTACGTATATTACTTGTTATAATATATATATCTAATTTATGTGTTATAATGTGTAGTAAAAATTTGATGTTACAATATGTAAAATTATATTTAAATAAGATGCATGTCGTTAATGTATTTATTCTCTTTCTGTGTATTTAATAATATTAGAATTGAACATTGAGAGAAGGGCGATAATTACAAGTGGACGCCTTTTAACAGTTGTGACACGTGCAGCGTAACAAATTTAAACAGAATTCTGAAGTGAAAAAAGAACTTTGATAAAAGTTACATATACCAGATTTTATGAAATTAAATTTATGGAAATGTATCACAGTCTTTTTCATCTAATAATAACAAGTACCTAATGATAATTTTTCAATGAGATTGCTTATTTTTGTAGGGAAAGTAAATGAACATTTTAAGAAAAGGAAAGTTATATTAACAATATCGTATTAATTTGAAATTTTCAGGTACACACATGGAGGAGTTTGATGATATGGATGATGAAATGGAGGAAGAAAATGTTGATGATGACGATGATGACAAGGTACAAACACCTTAATGTTTACTGTAGATTAGATGTTTACATACATATGTACATATTAAAAGTTACTGAAAAATTTGCAACTAAAGAAGATTGTATTAATTACTGACATTCTAATTAGGCTTGCAATAAGAATTTTTTGAGAATTGACATAAGAAACATGCAGAATATTTTCGACTGAAGTAATTGCATATGAGTAGATCAACTCGAGATTAACAGTTCTTGTCGTGCTTTTATTATGTATATTAACAGAAGTGATAGTATTCATTTTCTATATACTAGGAATACAAATTTCAGGCACCACAAAAGAAAAGAAAGCATTCTGCAGAGGGTAAAAAAAATGGCACGAAGCGTGCCAGGATGGATGAAGCTGTAGACAAATAGAATCCTAATATTAAAATGCTGCTATTCAGTCATCCTCCAAAAACAAGTTTTACCAAGAGTATTTTAAAATCACGTTATATGAATATTAAAATTTCCGGGGGGCGGGAGGGCTCTGAGGATTGAGGAATAAATGAAAGTCGTGGATATAACTTTCTGCGTTTGTGTTTTCATTCCATGTGTCTTTTATTTTTTTACATAATAAATCATCCCATTTTAATACAGTTGCTTTTATTCCTTACTTATCATGCATCCTCTTTTTTCCATTTCTTATGTTCAAATTCTAATTTTGGTATTGTAGGAAAAGGAAATGCATTAGAATGTCAGTAAACAATATGATCTTTTATAAAACAAAATTTTGCTTTTAGGTTTTTTTTTTTTGTAATATAATAGAGGTAGTTGACAGTTCTCAAACGATTTGCATAGCTATATTCTATTTGTTATTTTAACATATTAGGAGCCAGAAGATGAGGAAGATGATGAAGACGAACCCAAGAACAAGCGTATCAAATTAACAACTGCAACCAAATACAAAAATCAAGCTAATAAGAACAAGAAAAAATAAGAACGAGCCTTAATACTATGGAAATACAACAAACTTTTAAGTTAGGCTAATAAGCGTAAGTCCATCATTATCATCCGCATTTGTGCGAATCTAGTATCGTTTCACCAGATTATCAGACGACAAACGTTGCCTTCCACGTTTCTACAACACAACTGGACCAATGAAATATTATACGATGTTACACTATGTACTTTACGAAGAATAACGTCACGTTTTATTGGTCCATGAACATTTTAATTGTCATAACATTTATTATAAACAAAGATCGCGGGCCTTATTTTAGCATCAAATATTTCTTTCATATCTAATCGAACATTTTTTCAAAATGCCTTAGAGGAATGACCCTTAAAACGTATCAGACAAACTACGAGATATTAAGGATGTGAATTAAAAATTATTTTTTTGACAAAATTTTATGGAGTTGAAAGTTCAGAGGGCATTCTTCTTAGAGCCAATTTCACATACTAGCTTGTTTTATCTTGTTACAAGACTGTTAATGAAAAAAGAGAAAAAAAAACAAAAAACAAAAAATGTGATTAAAATTACCAAAAAATCCGTGAGATAATATAAGAACACGGTTTTTAAAAGTGAACATGAAAAGAGACGAACATATTTGGCCCAGTTGTTGTTAATAAAATTAGTGGAAAGCACGGACGGACCTACAGTGAGGTGTATTCGTATTGTTTCCTTTTTTGTCTTCTCCGATGCCGTGTTCACACATCGACACTTCCAGTGATGCGAAGATACACTATTCTAATGTAGTCATGTAAACGCGATTCACAGAAAAAAAAAAAAAAAAAATGAATTACTATGCTCTTTAAAGAAAAGAAAACAAATTTTGAAGATAACGTTCCAGTGTAATTTATTATTTTCGTGTGTACAAGATGGGGAAAGGGTAATAGTCACAGAACCCTTATACTAGAATGTTATTAATGACTGTAAAGGAGATAAAAAAACAATGAGATCAGAATTCAAGAAAAAAAGAAAGAAACATATTTACGCGTCATCTCGACATTCATTCCATTTGATGAAAGATAACAGAAGAGGGGGTTACACAGGTGTACTACACAATGTGATGCTCTTACATCAGTGTTATATGCGATAAAAGCATATGTAAAGCGTGTATAAAACGCGCCCATGCGATTGATAAGTAGTCTGTACACCTATTTTGTACATATACGATACAATAAAAAATTTCACAACTTTTAATCAGTATCGCACGATGTAATTTTTATTTGAATGCCTGCCCTGATTGTACAAAGGAGATCATGTATTCGTAGGTTAAAAAATTTCATGACATCTAAGCATTCGTCATTTGTCGATACAATCAAGGATATATAATAACTTAATGGAAATGATTTTTCGTCATTATGTGAAAGAAAGAAATTGCCTGTTTTTATAATCTACGAAGAAATAGATAAGAGCACGATGTTAATGATTTTTAACGCGTGAAGAGTATATCAGTTAATTTTATAAGGGGAATTTTGTGTGATTGTCTACAAATAAACAGAACCTAAAAATATTTGTACATTATTTCAGTAATTAAATTTTGCTCGTATATCGAGGTAAGCGAATTACATCATTCAGGAAATTAACAATAAGAAATATTTTCATGTAATGTGATTTAAGGTCAAGAAAATTTTACTACTCATCGTTAGATCGTAATATTCGCTATTATGATATGCAGAATATTAGTTCTAAGGCTAACTTGAAGAAGGGTATAGATGTGGAGATTCTTTGTTCGAGTTCACAATGTCAAGTCACCAGCGAGGAATTAACAAATTTACGTCAACAAGTATGACTATTTTGAGTCATTCTATCTCAATACTTAATTAATGATGCTAATACATAATTGAAAGGTGAGGGATCTTCAAGAAACGGTTACATCTTTAGAAAATATTATAGAAATAAAGAATATGCAATTGCAAAACATGCAACGAGATAACGAACGATTATCGGTTGAATTGAAAAAGCAACAAAGATATGTCAGGAACTTTAAACGTAAGATTTATGAAAACCTCGTTTAAGCTCATCGATTCTTAAGTGTATTGCCTTAATTTTAGAGCAGTTGGATGATGAAAGGTTTTTATATCAGAGAGACAAGGATTTTCTTAATAACGAAATACAACGGCAAAAGACACGATGCGTAAGTGGTGCCTCGAAATTATATCAACACCGAAAAGAATTAGAGTTAGTACGAAAATGTTTGGAAGATGAAAATGAGTTACTTAGAGAAGAATTAAACGAGAAGGCCGAAACAACGTACAATTTGTGTATAAAGTTTTTGCGAATGAAATATGCTAAAGATTGTATAAGGTATAAATTTGATCAGTTGTTGAAGGAGCATCTGCAAGTTATGACAGATATGATGGAGAAATTAGATGAGGCAAGAGAAGAACTGAATATAATCGTGTCTGAAAAATTTCGAGAACCATTACCTTTGAGTAAAGCAAAATTTTTACAGGTGAATTTCATAAGAAACTATTGTTATCCTTAGTCGTTGTTCAAGTGTATAATATTGTAGTGTATATTTTTTATTAAAAGTGTATATTTTTTATTAAATCACTGTTTGTTGTGTGGATTCTCTCAGGTGGTACAAAGAAATGCTCGTCTAGTTCATGAAAATGCGACACTCAAGGTACAAATACAACGTTTGAATTTAAATATCGACAGATTAAAGAGTCATATACAAAAACCGAAGTTGATAAACGTAGATGCCAAAATAATTGCGAAGTTAGCCACGCAAAGTAAAAAAAGATGTAGCAAAGAATCTACAAAATGGCTACCATTTCAGTAAGATTGTGTTTCGTAATAAACTTCAGTGTATTTATTCATCTCAATTTTTTCAAATAAATTTTCCTCTCCTTTCGTGTTTTCCCGTGTTGTTTCTCTCTTCTATATCCTAATTTCTTTGCTTAACAATTGATCAGGTATTTTTATTTTTTTTTTCTAGCTTATACGATAATGAGATTGGAAAAACTTCGTCATTCCCGAAATCGTCCAATACTCAAACTCCCATTAATTATACTGGATATGCAATGTTACCGACGAAAATTCGATCGGATAACTCAAAAATATTCGCGAAGACTACGGCAGACGAAATTAAAAGCCAAGAAACGTGGGAACTACGAACGAAACGCGTGCGCAGCGCTCCAGAAATTCGACTAGCGGAAGTACAATCGAACTCATCCGCAATTGTTGGTGCAGAATCTTCAATGGATACGAGACATGCGTCGACCAACATTTAACAAAGATTATTACAAATTTAAATCGTTGTTGTAAAAAGGTAAATGTTTCAATTGCTTTATTTTATATTTATTAATATTTTCGTTAAAAAAACATATCAACTATAAAATATAGAATACGATGTATCGACTGTAGATTAAGTGGCGCTAAAGTAAAGCGTTTAAACCTTGCCCCGCTAGAGGGCGAGTTTAGTATGAAACGGTTCAGTTTGTTTTGTCCAGTGCCGCGTCAATGTCGTCGCGTATTAGTTTGGTGTAGTTTTGTGACAATAACAATTTCGATGACCTCGAGGATGGGAGTGCCAGAGCAGTACAATGGTACGAGGTACGAGGTACGAGATATTCAGGTAAAGAGTAAACGTTTTAAAACAATATTCCAAATCTTTCTTCTCTTCTCGACGAAACAATTCGCGTCGTCGATAAACACGACGCGATGAAATCGAACGAACTGCTTAAAATCAATCGATATATACGCAAAGCGAGCTATCATATACCACGACAAACCGTTCGCGGATAATTCATAAAGTCGATACGGGCAATGAAAAGCAAAGTTAATAATCATAAAATTAGCGGCCCTCGTAAATTCGTGACGCGATATTCGAGTCGTTAATCGCAATAACCGTAAGATATATGCAGCGCCACCTGAGAATTAATAATTTACGATACGGAATATCGCGTAACGAGTCGTTTCGAAACGACGCTGCATAATTCGAATCATTAGAGGGGAACGATTTCTACGAATTGTTTTTCTTCTTTCGACGAGGTAAAAAATAAAAACGCTAAATAAAAGGAGATAACGGGAACGAGTTTGGCATCGTTCAAAGAAATCAAAATGCCGTAGTTTCGGTTACGGTATTTGCGGCACTCGTCGATAACGACAAAAGTATAGTCGTGACGAGAAATCGGCAGAGTCTTGGTGCTTATAAACGTCATTACGACAGAAAGCCCGTGATTACGTTAGAACGACGAGAATTGCCGGTGTGTATACGAGGGTGTGGGTAAGGAGGGAGAGGAGAGGACCGGGTATCTTCGTCTCGTTTCATCTTTCTCATTCTCGTGCGGCGTGGAGCCGGTTCGAGGCGAAGCCGGGTTTTAACGATCGGTCATTAAGTCGCGAAGAAAATTGAGACGTCCACCTCTCGGTGAGCTCATACCCAATTGAGTAGCGGCCTTAATACCCCTTATGTATTATCCGGTAGGCGAAGCACCTTGTTAAACGGATCCGCCATTTCTTCTTCTCACTTCGTGTTTTTCCACGGTGATCGCGGCTCGATCGAAAACCCGACACTGCCGTAACAGTTCTTCACTCCCCCTACCCCTTATTTTTTCCTCGCACAGTTTGCCGTGGTCGATTCGGATATCCGATTTCGCGTATTCGCCTTTAATTTCGAATTCGAAATTTTCGTATCTTTCGCTCGCTCCCTCCCGACGAAATTTTAATTCCAGTCGGTACGTTCTCTCCGTAGATATACGCAACCACAGGCACGATAGGTTAACGAGAAATTCAGCTGTCGGTAACGCGTTTAATCGTCACGTGACACCTATTTTCCCGGTGTGTCGGATCTTTGAGTAATGGCCTCCTAGAGAACGCGAACGTCGATCCTGATTACCGATTCCCGATCCCGTTCTGTTTCTGATCGCGGGTATTAGCGCGCGCGCCGGTTATCGTCCATCGGACGTCATGCACGGTGCGAACGCGGCATAAATGTGCCGCGAAAGACAGTCTGTTAGGTCCACGAAGGATTTCGATACACGTCGATCAATCGTGCGCGATCGATAAGCTCTCCACTTCCACATTGTTTCCAGCCTTTCCGGTTCGATTGTCTCGCAAAAAGAGCCGGTTCGCCCCTCCCCGCCCATTTCGACTTTTCATTTTTATTTTATCTTCCTTTTTTTATTTCACTTT